TATGTATATGTATATGTATTAATTTATATATGTACATATATATATGTGTGTGTGTGTGTGTGTGTGTATGCATGTTTGTGTTTATGGAACCATGTACTGAATGCGATGTGTGTATGCTTTTATTGTTTTAGCAGTATGTAGGATAACAGAATTCGAACTATAGATTTGTGGTGAACGTATGTATTATGTTCTCATCGTAGATTGCACTGGATTTTTAGATGTCTAGTATGCGACAATTGCACGCTATGATATAATATGATTTGTGACGAAATTGCGTATATCGTCCTTCGTATAGATTGTGCGGGCTTGGGGCATATTCTCTCGTTATGAGTCTTCCGCGACTGTATATGAGCGACATGTAGACGAGTATTCTAGCCGTTGATTGTATGACTATATATATGTGTGTGTGTGTGTAATATGCATATGTATATGCATATACACATAATTTGCCATTTGTGATTTTGTATTCGCGTCACCATTCGGGCTATAGAACATGCGTCCCCATTTCTAGCCAGCCTATTTCTCGCCAACCAGTCAAACATCACAAGCATATGATAGATTTCAACTTTAATAATAATAGTGACATCTAATCTCACGCATGCGTATACATACATTGGCGGTACACTCAATTTCTACTACTTTTGTACGCCTGCTGCTACATCACTGAATGTCAAGAGATTCGTTTTCTTTTATCGTGCAGCCAAATATCTACTTTGGGTCCGCATTGTAAGTATGCCCTACAAGAAAAGAACTCGGTTACATATACTGAATGTGATTGCTGACGCACGGGTTTGTTCCTCCGTGACAGCCTGTGTCGATGTTATATATGGCAGCAATATATCGTAGCCGCGTATGTGTTACCAACATATGTTGGCTAAATCAATTATTGTATGGAACCAGATGTACGATTTTATTCTCGATTATTCGCTACTAACGTTTTATATTTCATTTTTTTTTAGGGATGGGCCAGGTTTGGAGATGCCAAAGGAGCTCCCAAGGGACCGCAATCGGATACAACCTCAGTGTCTGATGATGTATATCTCACACTCACATCAAGTATGTCCGCGTCTGAATGTGGACTGTGCTCGTTTCCATTGCCATGCATGATCCAAAAAAATGTATTGTTAGTCTATTCAATCAAGAACTACTAGGGTTTGTGCCGTAAGTGGGCTTTTTATGAATGACAGACATGTGTAGGTGTGCTTTACCGGCAAGTATTCCTACTGTTAGATACCAAGATTTGTTCTTCAAGCTTTGTATGAGCTGTTATTTTCCCGAGTGTCCACGCTTCCAGCAGCCATCCATATTCAGTATTAAATTTCTTTGTTATTGTTTGTCTAATCTTTCTTCATCATTCGTATTCCACAGGCAGTAAAGATCTGGACAAGCCTGAAGAGGACGATCCTCTCAAGAAGATGACGTCGTCAAAGATTGTTTCTTGCCGTATATGCCAAGGTGCCCATTTCTCAGCCAGATGTCCATACAAAGACACCATCTCCATGCCAGAGGAGCCCGAACCCGAACCCGAGCCTGAGCGTCGCACTGGTGCGTATGTACCTCCCAGTATGCGTGGCGGTGCTAGTGCATCTGCCTCAGCTGGTTCAAGGATGGGAGGCCGCGATGACGATACGACTACCGTGCGTGTGACGAATCTGTCTGAGGATACACGGGAGAGTGACTTACAGGAGCTGTTCCGACCGTTCGGAATGATTACGCGTATATTTTTGGCCAAGGACAAGATCACTGGTCTATCCAAGGGCTTCGCGTTCATCAACTATGTGCGAAAGGATGATGCGCAAAATGCGATCGACAAGCTGTGCGGCTATGGTTATGATCACTTGATTCTGAACGTCGAATGGGCCAGGTAAATTGTTTTGGGATATATTTGAATTGTCTTGTGTCTTAATCTTTTCTCGGTTATTATAGCCGTGAAGATGGTTATGGTGGATTCATGATATAGATGGAACTGAAGTTCAGCTTTCAGGCCACTACATTTTATTATTTGACATGCAAATTCTTCCGAAGCAATTCTGATTTTTTTTTCTTCCCCCTTTATTCTAACTCCCTTCCAGACCTGCCGTATCTGCCGATTAAGTGCAGCAATCTAGTATTAAAATCAAACATGTGGAATAGACAAGCGGGCAACTACATGTTTCCTTCTCTTTTGGTGAAAAAAAAACAGCTGAATTGAGTATAGAATTTGGATAGAACCAATTCTCGGAATATATTAGTTACATATTAAAATCTGGTCAACTTGTTATATGATCGCGTTCGAATGTCGAAGAACCCTGCGTGGAATATCAACGTATTTAAAGTACAGAAATTTGTCGTCGGCGTTTCGCAATATATACGCACTGGTTGGTCTGAAGTTATATAAAGATCCCATGCGTACGCATAGGAGTGACCCACGAGGAGATGCATGCTTTGCGTAGTCCTATCACGGCATTAGTTTTTCTGCACATATGAAGTGTCCTACGTGTTCGGTGCTCGCGGCGCAATTGAAGCATGGGCTTTTGATCTGCCGTTAGCTAAATCTTAGTTCTATAGAGTCCGTGAGAGAAGATTGTCATGACTTTTATTCAGTCGGGCGTCGTAGGAGAAGTATTCTTATTCACCACGGCTTGTAGTCGATTTATCGCACAGCCTGTATGCGCCTTGTGCGCATGAAGTACAACATGGGGTCACCTGCAGCAGCGTGGCTGACTCCTTCCTTGACCATTATACCACAACTGCGGGTAGCAACGTCTGTACGTGGTACTGTGTCAAGTATTTTAAACATGACTGTGTCCGAGTCTGGCTCGGTAAACAGAAGGCTTTCTAATCCAAGTCTGCTCTATTATTCTGCGCACTAGCGCTGCTATTTGCTTGTTCTCGGATTGTAAATGACCTGCTGCCATACTCGCAGGCAACGTCACGGATGGTGTCTATGCGTTCTTTGTTTTGCGACATGGACCTTAGTATGTCTCAAGTATTCAACCCGAAACGCCACACAGGAAATACTGGGGGGGTGGCTTCGGGGTATGTACTCATTATCTCTGGACAAAGTGTATTTGTACACACCAGATCGTTGATTGGATATCGTGTTCGGGCTGTGAAGTGCCAATGACTGGCATAGCCAATGTAATCCTTGTTGACCGCCTGAAGATGAATCATATGTAGGGAAGGGCGTGAATGCTTATCCTCGAAGCACCATGTACATGTTTAAACTGAGAAAATCAAAATTGCCGATCGAGCTTAATACTGGGCGATGAGCGACATACTTTCAATGCCGTATTCACGGCTGCTAGTATCAACGGCAATTTTGTTGATGGCGCGTCATAGCCCTGGTAGCCGTATAAGTCAACGCCTGGAGATTTCGGGAGGGGTTCAGATGAATCTCATGAATAGTATAGTCAATACAAACACTGAAAACGCTTGTCATCTTTCAAATTACCTGCTCTTGAAGCCAGCCGTGAAAGCTCAAGCCAGGCTTCGAGCTCTAGCACATCGGAAGCCTTGGGATCCTTCAGTTTAGGTGGCCTAATGTCTCCCTGATCTCGAATGCGAGCGGTCATCTTCATCTTCGCACGCTCCACCGTGTGCAGGAACTGTATCGTATCGCCGGTGAATGCGGATATCGCTGCCACCTGGGATCAACGTAGTGTACAGCTTGAGATCACAATTCATTCGATCGTACGTCCACACGATGATATTCGCAGTGATGAAAATCATGGACAAAACTAGGCGTAGAATTCTCTATCGACTAAAATAGATATGAACCTGGTAGACATACTTGAGCATCGTACAAGACCGGTTGTGGGCCTTTGCTCCAGTACTCCGCAGGGAAATCGTTCTCATCTGCCATTCCTTTGCCTATCAATGCCTTGTTCTTGGCTGCCATTTTGTTGTTCAAAAGCACCATCTCCAGGAAGGAGGCGTGCCAGGTTCGTATACCGGCATATTGCTCGGTACTCAGCGTACCCGAGTGCTTGAGCATCCTTAACGAGTCCAGCAAGTATGCACACAGTTTGAATTTTTTCATGTCTGATACCTGAATATTGAATTGACAACATTATTTGTCTAGTAGTGAGCATAGCTGTACACGAACGCCTTAAGAGTCAAAGTATCAGAACACCGTAGTCAAGTGGCAAAGCGTCTACATTCACCTTTTGTTGCGCCTCGGTTTGACTGAACCACTCCACATAAAGCTGGGCCGCATGCTTGGCGTAGCGCACTTCTCCTGTCAGAAACGATGTGAGGGCGAGAGCAGTCACTTGAGCTGCTCTATTTGCAAAACTGAGTTCAGATTCCTCACTCTCATCCCCCGCGGAGAGGTACGTATCGCATATGGCGACGAGCTCATTGATGAGAACCTGGTGGTCACAGAAGGATATGCACATGATGATGAGCGAGCATGACTGGTATACTTGTATTGCGGGGGACTCAATGGGCAGCGGATGATATGAAACTATCCAACGAGCACTAGTCGAAAGATGAGACTCGTATCAAAGACGGTGTCGGGTACAACGTACCGTTATCTCTGCATCGCTGGCCCTTGCTTCAATTTTTTCCTTCTCAAGAACATCCATGTCCCACATAAGCGGGGAGTCTTCATCGAAACTATATACAGCAGGTGGGAAGCGATATGAAGCCATGAGTATGAAGTACCTCTCTTGCAAAAAAATCGGCTACCTATCATTTCAAATTAAACAGTTCGAAACTGGACGTGTTAAAAATGCTCTGCACCATAATAGCACATTACGATTTACTTACCTGTAGATGTTATGCGCGACGTCAGCGTCACAATGGTCAATTAATAAGCGAATGGCCACGACGCGATCAAGCCCTCGTCCAATCAAATCTGTCTAATATAAAGATAAAGAACAATACCCGGTTCACTTTGTGCGCTTGATCTTGAGTATTAATGCATACATCAATTGCCTAGAGTGCGTCCAATTCAAGAATCCGGCATTCTTCTGCCCCAAACTTTCTATAACTTGTTTTCGGTGAAATGCGGTGTGATAAAAACAGGGGCTGACAAATCCGGTACGTAGTCATCAATTACATTTTGTGCAAAACCATTATGGATTCTTGAACTAACCTCAAGCTTGGGTCTACCGGAGAACAACCGAGCTACCCATCCGGCTACAGGTATTTGCCCTACACCTGGAGGCTTGTCGGTGGAGGGCTTCCATGTTTGAAAATGTTCTTCCCATGGATGGTAGCCCCTTCATTCGACAACAGACAGGAAATTATAAGACGAGCTTAGATTGCACAGATTGGGATTTCACATTTGAATCATAGAATTCGTGTATATATCGATCATACGTGCTGAGAGAAAATAAAGAGCATCCTGTGCTTATACGCTGAAATACATGTCGCACTTGGCATAATATCATTACCATGAATCCCAAGGCCCTGGCACTTGCAGTCGCCATAGCATCTCCACTTTCGATCGTCGACCGTAGCGCATATCTCCATTGAACTTTTCTTTCGCATCATATCGAAAAATCAGTTGCGGCTGCAACAACACCGAGCACAAGAAGAATTATAAGAGCATTCAATAGAACTAATCGAATGAACATTGCGCACTTGTACCAAGGACAGAAACATGTCGAATCCATACCTCATCTTCTAACCTGGGCTTGAAAGCGGGATCAAACAGAACATCATTGCTTTCTAGTAGGCGCTCCATAGGAACCCAGAAGTACCTGAAGATGAGAGAACAGTGGAGAGACCATCAACACAGTATACTGCCACCAGATAGAAACTCCCAGACTCACGGCAAAAAAAATCGACAACAGATGAAACCGGTGCGACAAGATGACGTTGACATATCATTCATACTTGCTATCCGAATGGCTGCGAACCGAAGTCGTGATATTCTTCCAGGCCGAAGATGTTAGAAAGCAATTGCCATCCCATGGTAGAATCCATTTTGCACCCACGAGCTTGCCTACAATTGAAAATGGTGAACCCCAACCGTATTGAATGGCTTCCTTTCGATGCTACAAACAAGTACGTAAAAGCCAACAAAGAACTTGAGTGAATTAATAGTACCTTCGGCAATCATCAAATTTCTAGCTTCATTATTGTGCATGATGTATCTGTTTTTGTCGTGGTAAATGTGGTCCATGAGTTCGCCCTGTTTCTTTGATTTCCATTTCCGAAATTCATTGGAGCGAATTATATCGGGATTGTCACGAAAATCTTGGAAACGAAACTCCATTTTGCTGTACTCGTCTAGTTCGAAGGGAGAGCTGATCCATTTCTGATTGTGTGCCTTGAGCAATGATATAACTCTCGCTTCTTCCGTTTTGTTCACCAGTCTGTTCAGTAGCCTAAGGTGACATGTATTCCGGTTCGCAATGCATAAGGGCTTCAGGTTATCATATTGATGGTAAAATCGAATTCGGCCCAATTTTTGCCTGGTCAGAAAAAGAAATTCAAAGGGGACTACTTTGCTTTTTATGACATACCATCTCGTCTCCAGGTCGTCAAACTGCTTTTCATTCTCCAATACAAATTTTACATTTCGGTAAGTTTGGCCAACCTATAAAAGGTGAAAAGGTAAAAATGGTCAATGAACAAAATAAGAAATCAATGCAAAGACCGGAATTTGAGAATCAGGCTCCGACTTGTCACGAAATAGCGCAATGTAGCAAGATCAATCAAAGCGATTACATACAACCCCAATCATATGAGTGGCGTATTTACAGACAATGATCACGGATTTGTTTTCTACACCACAACCAAAATTATTCAGCTATGCATAAGGCAACAAGCAACAAGAAAAATATGACGCACTGGCACCGATGTTCAAGATGTCATATAGCATTGTATGGCTAAACGGTGACAAGAAGCACGGCTCACAGTAACATGCACGGAAAGTCGTTCGCGTCACAATTATTGTCATACATTCACATACTTCATGTCGGGGTGGCAGATCATTCCCAATGTTTCGAAACATAATGAATTCATATTTATGTGATGGTGCACGACCTGGATTAGACAAGGACTTGTCTCTTCCAGTTTCATGTTGAATGAAGGCCGCATCTGGTACACCCGCTACTGGAGATCCGGACCCATTTTTGAGCTTCTTCAGCGCAATCCCAACAAGAAGGAATGAAAGTACTGCAACGGAGAGAAGAATCGCAAATGGCGTGAAGATATTCAATATCTGATGGTGGGTAGTACAGGCACTACTAAAACCTTGAGAAATCTACAGAAAATGAATGCAACAGAGAGCAACAAAGCCTGTAGAATGGTAATTTCGGCGCGACGCTACGGCAAGACATGTGGTCGCATGGCAATCATAATGTTGTGATAATAAGTCAATAAATCGATACTGAACTCAACGTATATTCGTATACTTTCCAACACCGCCCCAAGAATGAAAAATGGTCGGCATGAATCGTGTTCAAAGCTAGAAGTACCTATGACCACACCCGAAATCGCAATAGTCACCAGCGTGACAACATCTGCTA